TACTTTATTTTTGAGACCATGAATTGTTAACATGGAATGGGGAAACTCATATTTTTATGAAACATCCCTCTTCCTAAAGCTTTTTGTGTGCTTTTCAATTTCAGCACAATGTTTAATGTGCTGCAAATTGAAAGCGTTGAAAATTGCTTCATGAATAAATATTTTGCTTGAATGTGCATGCCAAAACATGGTATGGCTGATCAGAAAGGTGTCGTGTGTGGAAGTGAAAGGTTAGAAAGTAATTGTATTATTTGCTAACTTGTAAACAAAATTAATGGAAATTATTTTTGGAAAGTTGGTAATGTAATGTAAGTAGTGTATGATAATTAGCTTTTTAATTGTATGTGTAGCAATGTAAGAGGCATTATGTGATATGGTTGGGATGATTTGTAATTTTTTGGCCAAATTACTAGTCATTTGCTGACTTGCTTTTTCTCACTATATCTCTAACATTGGTTTGTCATACATTATAAGATGAAACCTGAAATGCATTGGTCCAGTACCATCTGATTGCCAACTGGTTTCCATTTTAAAACACCATTGGTTCTTTCATATACTTTCTGGTTCATATTCCTGAGTCATTTGTCTGCACTAATTTTGAAAAATTGTGCCTTAATGCAACATTTTTCCCTCCACATCCATCATTTTTGGAAGATGAAACAAAAATTATATTAGTCTTCCATTCTGGAATGGTGCATGGGCAAGTAGGGATTTACATGTGGTGCGTGAAGTAAGGGAGACAAGAAAATTCCTCGACTGAAATTAATGTTAAATTATTTTTTTATAACATGCTTGACATGGACACTTTATAGGGCCATAGTATGATAACATTTCAAAACTAATCTTCTCAACTGTTTTGGAGAAAAGCATCAAATTTGATGACTTGGAAGGAAATGTCCACAATGTATTAATACTTTTTAAAAAAAGGCAGCTCGTTTTTTGGTTTTTCAGTTAATGTGTTCAGTTGTATCTCATGTAAATGTTTTAGTTATTTTTTCATGTCTGTCGTGTTTTCTGCTTTCATCATCTTGGAGGTTTTCCATTTCTTGGGAAAAATGCATTTAGAGTTTCACTATATGTTATTATTCCTTCCTGCTGCCAAAATAGTGAAGTTGATGTTTCTGTGTGGATGTCGGAAGGACAATGGATGTGGAGTACTGAGAGAAGAGGAAAACCTGATGTGAACATTTTATTAAGAAATTGAAAGGAAAAGAAAAAGATAACCGATTTATAAAATTATAACTACAATTGGATCTACTTTTGTTTGAATTTATACATGCAATTGAAAATGCCTATTGAAGAGACTTCGGGAACCTTATAAATTAAAAATCATAAACTGTTCTATCTCTCTCAGAGCAATGAAGGAACGATATAAACTATTAGCATACAGTATGGGCAGTTCCTAAAAATAAATTGTGAATTAAACACAGTTATTTCAGCTAAAAATGAAACAAAAAAACAAATAACAAATCTATCATTGCTTAATTCAGTGGTTAACTTCAGAAACAGATCTGAATATAATAACATCAAAAAAATTTAAAATTTAACTTATGAGGCAGTTAACCTAATTTTAGTTCCCTATTTGGATTTATTCTCAGATCACTCACTGAAGGCAAAAGCTACTTTTGTTATTACTTTCTTTTAATTTGAACAATTAGGTAATATATTTTTGAATAATAAGTAATAAGTCATATAAATGAATGGAAGTTGTTGATTAAATTTTTTTTCTTCTATAAATTTGTTAAAAAACAAACAAACTAAAAACTACTATTCTTTCTTCAACTTATTAGGAAATACACTTTCTTTTCTAGATTCAACAGCTCATGTTGAACTTCTAAAGATGATGTTTATGACTAAAATCCTCTTTTTTTTTGTTATACTGTTCAATTATCGTTATAAAATTAATACAATTTCTTAGTAAATTAGATTTCTTGCAATACATTAACTATAGCTTTATCTTAATTGATGGGAAATATTACAATGTAGTTTGCTAGCGTGTAATAAATAAAATTCATGAGGAACAAGACATGACACATCAAGGTTAACCCTCAAACTACTGCTTCTAATTGTTTATCATAGAGAGTGGACAAATTTGAACCTTTTCGTTCTATTAGCTATTCGGTCTATTTGATTAGTGAGAAATGAATCGACATATACATTAATGAAAGAAAATGTTTGTTGATCATTGGTGTTGAATCAAATTATTTTGATATTGGTTGTGAAGCTCTTATTCATTCATATTGGGGATTTTATTTTTATATGCATCTGTGTTTTTTCCTCATATAGTATTACTATTTTTTGAGTGGTCCTTCTGAATTTACCAAACTTGCATTTAATTCTAAAAATCTCATAATGAGATAGAAGCTGTAAATTTTCTGGCTTTTCATCAGAAAGATAAAACTTGATAAAAGAAAGTTTATGTTTAGAAATATTAAAACATTGTATTGTATATTGCTGTTTTCAGTATCAGCCAAAAAAACTAAACTAATGGTCATTGTCTTGTTTTGATGATGAAAGAATGCATGTTACAAATACCTTAACTCCTACGATTGTGTGTGCAGTGCTGTTTCCTGAGATAGAGCCACGCGATGCAGTTCCAAAGTTAGAAAAGCTCGAGGTCTCATCAAATTACACGTTGTTGGCAATTCATTGACACAACGTGTTTCTCAACAAACTATGCTTTATCTTTTGGGACTGCAAAATGTTTTTTCAAAAACAATTACCATAAAATGCCAAAGGAATATATATCTCGATTTGTTTTTGATCCGTGAGTACATTTCGTAAATATATTTTGCTAGTGATACCTAGTGCTCAGTTTTTCTGCCTCATTTTCACTTTCAGAAACATAAGCATTATTTTAATTTTTGAAAAGGTAAACCGAAAATATGATATTGTGCTTGTTTTCCATAATTTCCGGATAACATGTTGATTATATTTAATATATTGTGTGCAAAATGAACTTATTAAGATTTGTGAAATAATTACTGGAAACTGATTTTTAGCAGCAAATTCTTGTAGCTAAAATTAGCATTAATGTTGTAGGTTACTAATTTCAATAACTTGCTCTGATTTGTTCAAAAAAGTTTTTGAAGTTTGTTGTTGTACTCGGGTGCGGTGTACTTGCGAAACGTAAAATTTGCTAATGAAAATTTACCATTGTGTGATAAGTGATTTAATGAATGTATTAAATTATTTGTCTTTAATTGTTAGAATTCTTGAAGACAAATGAAAATGCAATCAAGAGAAAGATATTATATCACAGAATACCCTGATTGATATAAGCAGTGCTTATAAAATTTTATTGACAGCTGTCAAATCTCTTTGAGATATTGTCATGGATGTGATACGGATCTATAGTTACTCGAAAAGAAATGCTATTATTCAGTTCTATTCTGTGATTAATGCTTTTGCCTAGTAAATAAAATATAATAGTCAATATTTTGAAAAACAATCTTGTAGAAAGTAAGAGCATGTCCACAGGCAGTGTAACATTGCCTTTGTTCCTACAAAATAGATGCAAGCATAGTAACCTATTATACGTCAATCTAAAATCAGTTTTGCTTTGGGAGCTGATTTTTAAAGTAATTTCAAGAGTATAGTTCTTTGGGTTTCTCACACAGATCTGGTTATCTAGAGTGCGTTCTAGATTATCTAGAGATCTGGTTTCAAGTTCTAGATTACTTGCCTATCAAAGCAGCGTCATATTGCAGTGTGGCCAAATACTGTATGTTACCTTCGAGTACAGTCAGTTTGTTTTGCTTTCTTTTGTGGCTTTGCGGCAGAACTTTGGGCTCTTATTCCTGTTCATAACGAATCGACTCTGACAATCTGAGATTGGTGTATGAAAATGAGTGGCAGAATGAGGGAAATTCACTATTAGTATGAATGGGATTAATTATTTTGGCATAAAATGATTGGAAGTCATGGAATGATTGGAATTGGTCAATGATTGAAATGATTGGAGGATTTTTTGGTGTCTTCCTACTACTACAATTAAGAAAATTAACTTTTTCTTCATGAAATTAGAAATGAAAGAAGAACATGAAAACAGATCTAAAAACAAATGCAATGTTGAATTTTAAAAAGCATGAATTATTATTTGTGAAATTTTGTGTCAAACACAGCAATAATTTATTTCCTTTAAAACATTTTTTTTCGTAAAAGCAGCACAGCTTTTTTTGTTTAAATTTAGATTTTTGATAGCATTACAGATATTTAAGAGAATGGAGAATTAAAATTCTGATTTTTTGAAAATAAAAAAAAAAAAAAGTCATCTTTTATAACTACAATTGTGAAGTAACAATTTTTTTCCTAATGAATTGTTTCAATCAAAACCGATCTTAAAAAAGTGATGTTGAATTTTTTT